GCTGCTCTGACCAGCTGAGGGTTTTAAATAGAAATGATCCAAACACAGTTCACATTTTCTACAATGAGTGACTGAAGTCTAGGTTGGTTCTGTGTGATTTGTTTGTAAAGGAGCTTAAAACTAAGATGTTCTTTCAGGAAGGCTTCTGGTTTTGGAGTGACGGTTCCAAGTTTGTGTTTAATCACTGGGGCCCCGGTGAGCCAAACAACGCCAGGGGAAACGAAGACTGCATGGACATCAACATATTTGGTATTTATTACTGGAGATACACAATTTGTAATTAATAATTTAGCTTAAATGCATGTTTTAATAATACCTTTGTATCTGGTGGCTTAGTAGGTAGGAGTTTGTCCTGTAATCTTTGGGTTCCTGGTTTGAACCCCCACTCCATTCATGTCTGTTGTGTCTCGCCCAAGGACACAACAGACACTGATTTCTGATCAGTGATTTCTGTAACTGATCAAGTCATGTCAAAGTCTTTGTCAAAGGCCTTCAGTCAGGATTTGTCTTTTTGTCTCTTTACAGGACGAGATTATGTGAATGATAATGTCTGTAGCCTGAAGCTCCCCTTCATCTGTGCCAGACCTCTGTAACCTTCTTATGCCTAAAAACCTGAATTGCAACATGGGTTTCCTGCTGGTGATGTCACTTCCACCTGGATGCTAAGCGACTATGACATCACTGCTGGAAGAACCTGATTTCACTTCATTTGATCACTTAAATAAATGTTTTCTTTCTCTGAAATCTGATTGATTTAATTATAGGATTAAAAATATGTCAAGATTTCAATTAAGCAGCAGCTTCTAAACTAATTGGTAATGGTTCTAAGTTTCAGCTATAACTTCATGCTGAAAATCGTCAGGGGCCTCATGCATAAAGGAGTGCGCAGTTTTCACACTAAAACTTGGCGTACTGACAAACTTAGAAAAGTGCAGCGCACAAAAAAATCCAGATGTGTGAAGCCGTGCGCACACAAGTGGCTGCGCTCCTTTCCTTTATGAATCCTAATTTACAGGAAACAGAGCAGCTGCTGGTCGCCTCCATAAATACATATTAATGTAAATTTGTATAAATACCAGGAATCCTGTTGCCACGTGAAGCAGTAACCATGGCAACAGCCTTTTTTGTAGAAGTACAAGTAAATCACACGCGTTTAATTGATATTTTACACAGGATTGGGCTCTCACATCGAGC